ACATCAAGGGGCTGTTGGGATATTGGTTATCAAACTGTGCGCCTGTAGATGTAATAAACAGGGTCCACCCATCATGGAAGATCTGTAGATGTTCCACCTCCTCCTTACCATAAGGAAGGATAATTTTATCAGGACTCTTTCCAAAGGTTTGAATGCTAAACTTGTGTGCCTTCCACAACAATTGTAAAATGAGATCATAGTAAGGGGTCACTACCTTCTTAGGGAGGCTGACAAATGTACCCAATAAATAGGACCAGTCTGCCAAAACACGGCAGTGGGCGAAAAGCTAGATGAAAGTACAACCAGAACAAGGGGCTGCCCATAATCTATACGCCAAAGGTGGGCTTGCTCTATACTTCTTAACAGCAATTGTAGGGCTTCCCTGGCCTCTGGGGTAATCTGTCTAGGGGAAGTTGGAGCAGGATCTCCAGGAAGAATATCATAAAGCGCTTTAAGGGCCCCTGTTTTAATAGAAAGAGAAGGGCGAAACCATTGCACCTCTCCCAAGAATCTCTGCCAATCATGAAGTGTTTTTAAATTTGAACAATCAATTTGGAGTCTTTGTGGCCGGAGGCCAGTTTGTTGAATTTGATGACCCAAATAAGTATAAGGGGGTCTCTTTTGGATCTTTTCAGGAGCCAAAATAAATCCGCGGGCCTCCAGAAGTTCCTGTAGCTCTGCAAAGGCTATGTAACATTGTCTTTCTTCGGCCGCGGCCAAAAGAATATCATCCATGTAGTGGATAATGTAAAGATCAGGAAACTTACGTCTGAGGGGATCTAAACAGGCAGCTACATAAATCTGGCATATAGTTGGACTATTAGCCATCCCTTGGGGGAGCACCACCCATTGGAAGCGAAGGGCAGGCTCCCTAAAGTTAATCGCAGGAAGGCTAAATGCAAACCGAGGACTATCTTGAGAATGCAAGGGAATAGAAAAGAAGCAATCCTTCAAATCAATGACAATCAAATGCCAGTCTCTAGGAATGGCCACAGGCACGGGCAAGCCAGGCTGCAGAGCCCCCATAGGCTGCATGGTCGCATTCACGGCCCTCAAGTCTTGTAGTAACCTCCATTTCCCTGAAGATTTTTTTATTACAAATATAGGGGTATTCCAAGGGGACGTGGAAGGAACCAAATGACCTGCCTCCAATTGTTCTTGAACTAGCTGGTGAGCCGCCCTTAGTTTCTCCGCTGGTAAGGGCCACTGTTCCACCCATACCGGATCATCTGATAGCCATGTGATGGGTATGGGGGCTGGCGGCGCAACAGTGACCCTCATCAAAAATGGCCAAAACCCTTCCTATCCCCTGGGGCCCTGGTCTCCAAAGGGAGGGATGCCACAGGGCAAACCTCTCCCTGTTCTAGTTTACCTAGTTCCCTCCCCGGGCTCCAGCCCCTCCCTTGCGTCATCTGGGGGCCCCTGCTTTTGGACTTGGGTGCCTGGGTGGTGAGGACCACTCCCATTTCTTGCATGAGGTCCCGTCCCCAGAGGTTAATAGGGAGGCCAGGCAAAACATATGGCTGGAAAAGCCCTGTGTGGCCTTCAGAGTCTTGCCACTTTAAGATTCTGAGGCTTTTTGGGGCACAGCCTGTCCTATTCCCTGGAGGGTCACTGTCCCTTCCTCTTTCGGCCAGGCGGGGGCCAGAATTTATCTGAGAGGACAGAGAAATCTGCCCCAGAATCTAAGACGCCCCTAAAGGACTTGCCTTCTATCTTTAATGTAAGCTGGGGGCGGTTCTCCATAGTGGCTACCCAAAATGCTGCCGGGCCGGTACTTCCAAAACCTTGGTTGCCCCTTTTCTCTTTAATTTTTCTAGCCTCACAAGGAGCTGTAGGGAGAAGGAGTATCTGAGCAATCCGTTCTCCTGCAGGGATGGCAACAACCCCACTGCCCACTGATGTCATTATTTTAATCTCCCCCTCACTATCCTGGTCTATAACACCGGGGTGTACCTGGATGCCTCGAAGAATAGTACTGGACCGTCCCAAAAGTAGTCCGACCGTGCCTGGGGGCAATGGCCCATGCACCCCAGTAGGGAGGGCCTGGATCCCCATTTCCGGTGTTAGGATTGCCCGGGCAGAGGGAGCGAGGTCCAATCCTGCACTCCCGAGGTGGCTCTAAGGAGGTCTGAGATATGAAGGGGTTGCTCTGGGGGAGAAAATGAGTCCTGCCACTGCCCAGAGCAGGGGTCATTGCCCCGTACACATTGGTTTTGGGGCCCTGGGGCGGGGCCCTCCTCCCGTTTCCCTGATTATTATTAGCAGAAAGGAAATTTCCCTCCCTGTCAGTTTTAGAGTAGCAGTTATTGGCCCAATGATATCCCCTTCGACAACGGGGGCATAAACCAGGTCTCTTGAGACCCGTAGTACTATTTTGAGGGCACTCTCTACGGAAGTGTCCCTCCCTACCGCAGCTAAAACATGTTTTTCTCCCTCCCAGAGTAGGTCTTTCTTTCCCCACTTGGGGCCGAATAGCAGCAGCTAACACTTGGCCCTGGATGAAGTTCCCATCAATGTCCCTACAGATCCGGATATAGTCATTTAGACTTTTATTGCGATAGGGGCGAAGGGCTTCCTTACAATATTTATTTGCATTTTCAAATGCCATCTGCTTTATGACTGGCATCGCAGGCCCAATGCCCCCAAATATTCTTTCTGCTACCTGACTGAGACGGTCTACGAAGTCTTGAAAAGGTTCGGAAGGTCCTTGAAGGACTTTGGACAGATGATCCCCTCCTTCCTTGGAAGGCAATGCTTTCCAAGCCCCTTGGGCTGCTGCTGCCACTTGGGCATAGACTGCGATGTCATATTGCATTTGTTGCTGAATGGTGGCGTATTGACCACTTCCGGTAAGCATCTCCACATTTCTCTGGGGCTGTCCGGCCTGTGCATTCCTTTGGGCTGTCTGGCTGCATCTTTCCTGAAACTCACCTCTCCAAATCAAATAATCTCCCCCCGACAGAGCTGCTCTGCAAAGCTGCTGCCAATCGCCAGGTGTCAAATTAAGAGACGCAAAAGATTCCATTAAGGAAAGTGTAAAGGGAGCCTGTGCTCCATAATTTAAAGTTGCCTCTTTAAGTTGTTTTATGTCCTTAAAATTTAAAGGGTTATGACGCCTAATGACCTGTCCAGAATTGTTCGGATCTGGAACTTCCATTACTGGGGCCACCACCGGGCAGCATTGGACCCCTCCTCTGGGTCTTCCCTCCAGGTCTGAGAAGGACTGGGTTATCTCATAGGAGGAGTCCCTTTTTTCAGAGTATGGGGAAGGGTTTCTCTCCCTGTCCTGTCTTTCCTTAATTAGAATCTTTTTTAGTTCTTTTTTAAGGGCCGCGATCTCAGCAAGTAACCGTTCCTTTTCAGACTGTGACGAGTCTGAGTCTGAGCTACTTCCATTTTCTAGGTCTGATAGAGAAGGATATAACCGATTCTGACCGGAGTCCTTCTTTTTGGGTCGCGCCCGGAGATGTCTACCCGTTTTTTGTTGTTACTAAGAGACTCCTCCTCATCCTCACTAACAATGGAGCCTCTAGTTTCAGTCACGGTCTCTTCATCATCACTCTCTGCCCCTGAACTCAAGGAGGCTTGAGTCTCAGTCTCTTGTAACTCTAAAAAAGCCTCTTTTGTGTCCTGAACTACCTGGTGGTGACGAACCTTATCTGTCAAAAGTGCTCCCCTCACTAATCTCCATAAGGAGAATGTCGTAGGGGGCAAGGACTCAGATCCCTCTTTTCGTAAAAGTCTATGAAGATCACGGCGAACCTCCTCCCAATCTGGAATATTTAAGCTTCCCCCAGTAATGAACCATGGACTGGCTCGTTCGATCGATTTTAGAAAGCCTTCTAGGGTTTTAGACTTGACTGCAGTCCCATGTTCTTTAAGTAACTTTTTTAGTTGATACTGCAATGATTCTAGCTTCCCGGAACTATTCCCCATAGTTTCTTAACCCCGTCCACTTACCTCACTTTCACGATCTCAGTGGGACCTCCAATTGTCACGTCTGCTGCGCGGCCTGTGTCCGAGAACGTGCGGAGGGTGTCGGGTATTGATAACACAGAGACTCGTTCAATGATATAAAGAGAACTTTAAACAGGCTCCAAAAAGGTTCAAGAAAAACTTCCTAAGAAAGGCTCCCACCAGAGAAGCCTCTGCTCTCTCCTTTCCCCTGGCTGGTTCTGCTCTGACCCAGAGGTGGATGTGTGTGGGTTTTTGAAGGTGCGGTTAGTCTTTGGACAAGGTCGAGGTCAGGGCGGTTTCCGTGGGAAGGCCTTTCCCAGGAACTTATTGTATCGTTTTTAGTAAACATGTTTTTACTAAACATTGTCTTACAGCTGCCTACTCCCAGGCAGAAGGGGAAGTGGCCAGGAACTTATTGTATCGTTTTTAGTAAACATGTTTTTACCAAACATTGTCTTACAGCTGCCTACTCCCAGGCAGAAGGGGAAGTGGGTCTCTGCTCAAGGTCTGGTGTTCCCACAGAGAAGCTCTGACATTCTCTCCAACCACTTAGTGTTTACGTTGGAGTTCAGGGTTAGCGGGTAACGATGGAAAGAGGGGAGGGACACAAGGTCAGGGTCAAGAGTGTGGTTGCTTCCATCCTCCATGGACTCAGTCTTACCACCCAGCACAGCCGCACAGCGTTCCTAGACTCCAGCTTGTGACCATTCCCTTATGAGAAGGTGATGAGTGTGTGCACCCACAGCCCCAAGCTGATGAGGAGATCAAACTGAGGGTCTCACACATGCTAGGCAAGTGCTTTACCACTGAGCTACAGTGGGGTTCAGAATGAGATTTCCCAGTTCCCAGTCCCCTCCCCCCAATATGTAGCTATAGCCCAGCCCAGCCTGTAGTCACAGATAAAATGGCCATGGTTGATTACACACGAACCCAGTCTGTCCTACATGGTCCGGGGCCAGGCAATTTCCCAAGGGACCCTGCAGCCAGTGTGACCTCCTAGCATTGTCCTTGGCCTGATTGAGTGTCCCCTGGTCCCACAGGTCTTCCTCGAGAGCACCCAGAGAGCTACCACTCCTTCATGTGGAATAATTTCTTCAAGCACATTGACATCCATCCTGAAAACACCCACATTCTGGATGGGAATGCGGCTGACCTGCAGGCTGAGTGTGATGCCTTTGAGGAGAAGATCCGGGCTGCAGGCGGGATCGAACTCTTTGTTGGAGGCGAGCACGGCTACCTAAGAGAGACCCTGGAGAGGGGGGGGGGGAGGAGAAAGAAAGAGACAAGGAACTGTAGAGGGGGAAAGGAGTCTGCAAGCCCTAGAGTTTGGTGTGCTGGATTCCAGCTTTGGGTGAGAGGAAGGGAGGGAGAAGTTGCACTTCCCCGCAGTCTAGAGTGGGAGGGAAGTTATTTACACAAGTCTGAGCTATCTGAGGGTGATGAAAGCATGTCACCAGAGTCTGTGTGCGCCTTAAGTAGAAGAGGTGGGGAGGGCGGTGACCTGACTTAGGGTACAGGTGAGAGAAGAATTGTAGTTTTCTTCAGAGCAGGAGGACGGTTGTTTTTACTTTGCTGGTCCCTGGGACTCATGACGTTGCCCTCCTGTCTCCTCAGGCATCGGCCCCGATGGACACGTTGCTTTCAATGAGCCGGGTTCCAGTCTGGTGTCCAGGACCCGTGTGAAGACTCTGGCCATGGACACCATCCTGGCCAATGCTAGATTCTTTGATGGCGATCTTGCCAAGGTGCCCACCATGGCCCTGACGGTGGGCGTAGGCACTGTGATGGATGCTAGAGAGGTAAGGTTCTAGGCTTTGCCTGCCAGCCTTTGCTAAGGTTGGGGACAGGGGCTATTTTATTATTCATTTTAGCTATACAGGCACCATGTGTACGTTCTTATTAACACAACTCTTCATAAAGAAAGCTAAAATCCCAGCTGGTCTTCACACTGCTTCTCTTCTGCCTTTGAAGGTGAGGTCATTCCTAGGGTGAGGGCAATCAGTCATCTGGGCGTTTTGTCTGTGCCTCAGGGACCAGAGACTGGGCTGGCTCTGCCTGCTTGTGTGCCTCTTTCGTATAGCTTGTGGGCAGAGGTTTCTGGCACCACTGGTGGAGAACTAAGAATTGTACCTACCTGGTTACCTACCGAGCAGATACTTGGTCTTTGTGGTTGGTTACTGTCTGAAAGGACTCTGTTCCTGCAACCCATGGATGCGGTCTCTATAGTACGTGCTTGAGGACAATATATACAGTTAAATGTGATTAGAATGTAGTGAGGTTTTCTCTTAGAAAATCAGGTATCAGCCGGGCGTTGGTGGCGCACGCCTTTAATCCCAGCACTTGGGAGGCAGAGGCAGGCGGATCACTGTGAGTTCGAGACCAGCCTGGTCTACCAAGCGAGTTCCAGGACAGCCTCCAAAGCCACAGGGAAACCCTGTCTTGAAAAACCAAAAAAAAAAAAAAAAAAAAAAAAGAAAATCAGGTATCATTTTAATTTTAGTTTTTTGTAGTTTCAGTTTCCAGCTGTGTCTGAATTATACTTATCTTATTTTTCAAAGCCTATTTCCCTTTCCTTTCCTTTTTTTTGAGAAAGGGTTTCTTTTTTTGCTGTTGTTGTTTTTGGTTCTTTTGTTTTTTTGAGACAGGGTTTCTCTGTATTGTTTTGGAGCCTGTCCTGGAACTCGCTCTGTAGACCAGGCTGGTCTTGAACTCACAAAAATCTGCCTGCCTCTGCTTCCCGAGTGCTAGGATTAAAGGTGTGCGCCACCACTACCTCAGAATCATTTCTCATTGTGTCTGTATGTGTGCGTATGAATTACATGTCACAGCACTCACGGAGCTCACGGGACACTTGTGTGAGTCACTTCTCTCCTTCCCCCATGTGGGACCCAGGGACAGACCTCAGGTTGTTAGGCTTAGCTGCAAGCACCATTGCTTGTTGAGCCGTTCACTGGCTCATGTATTTGATTTTTTTTTAATTATTTATTATGTATACAGCATTCTGCCTGCATGTATGCCTGCAGGTCAGAAGAGGGCACCAGATCTCATTACAGATGGTTGTGAGCCACCATGTAGTTGCTGGGAATTGAACTCAGGAGCTCTGGAAGAGCAGTCAGTACTCTTAACCACTGAGCCATCTCTCCAGCCTCATGTATTTGAATTTTAGAAGCATTTTCTTTTTCTTTCCTGGGTATTATACTCAGTGGGAAATGTCTGTAAATGGTTACTTTCCAATCTCTTTGCTCAAGTCTGTGAGTAAGCATCTAAATCAGGGGAAAGCCAGCTTTAGATTCCCACTGGGAGGCTGAGTGAGGCCCTCGGAGTCTGCTGGCCTCTCGGAAGTACTGAGTACAAGGTTCGGAGGCCAGGCACAGCAGAGAGGCCTTGTGACCTGGAAGGTGGACAAGGGGTGGGATGTGTTTAGAACCGAAGTCGCCTCCCGTGCGTCTGTGTTCAGTTCTTTAACAGAGAGGAGCAGTAGTGGCGCACGCCTTTAATCCCAGCACTGGGGAGGCGGGGAAGACAGATCTCCAGTTCAAGGCCAGCCTGGTCTACAGAGCGAGTTCTAGGCTAGCCAGAGCTACACGTAGTGAGAGCCTGTCTTAAATTTTTCAAAAACCGAAAGGAGCAGTTGTCTGCTCAGAGGTGGGAGTGGGGGCGTTGGGATGAAAGTCTGCAGAGCTGAGTCCCTCGGGGTCACCTTTCCGCACTTGTGCTCCTGGTATCTTAGCTCTGGAGTGTGGCCACATCTTGTAGAAACAAATAGAAAACGCCAGGCCGGTCACACTAGCACTTTCAGTGCTCTGAACTTGAAAGAGAGCAGATGTAGGGACAGCCTTTGTGAGAGTCGACCTCCGGCCCCAACACGACTCCCACCATGGCTTCCCACGAGGCTGCGTCTCATCACTGACCCACGGCTTCCCACGAGGCCCCATCTCCATCACTGACCCACGGCTTCCCACGCAGCCGCGTCTCATCACTGGTCTGTTTTCTGATCCCCAGGTGATGATTCTCATCACAGGCGCTCACAAGGCTTTTGCTCTGTACAAGGCCATTGAGGAAGGCGTGAACCATATGTGGACTGTGTCCGCCTTCCAGCAGCATCCCCGTACCGTGTTTGTGTGTGACGAGGATGCCACCTTGGAGCTGAAAGTGAAGACGGTCAAGTATTTCAAAGGTTAGACTCAGCAATGGAGAAGGCCCCAGGCTGGGTGGGAGGCAGGGAGGTGTGGATCTGCTTTCATTCTGGGCTTGCTTTGCTTTATTTGAGTAGCTCTGGCTGGCCAAGAACTCTCTTTGTAGATCAGGCTGGCTTTGAATTCAGAGATCTGCCTGCCTCTGCCTCCGGAGTGCTGGAATTAAAGGTGTACACCACCACACCCAGCACCTGTTTTGTTTTTTGTTTTCAGACAGGGACTTACTTTATAGTCTCCAAGTAGTAATCCTGCCTCAGACTCCTGGGTGCTAGAATTAGAGTCATTACTACCACACTCAACTTACTCTGCTTACTCTGGCCATTTTAATCATCACCTATGAGGTGCGTGTGTGCGTGTGTGTCTGTATGTGTGCATGCGTGCATGCGTGTGTGTGTGTGTGTGCGTGTGTGTGTATGAGAGACATGTGTGCATGTCAGTGTGTGTCTGTATGTGTGCGTGCATGTGTGCGTGCGTGCGTGCGTGCGTGCGTGTGTGCGTGTGTGTGAAGATCAGAGGGAAGTTGTGGAGTTGGCTCTTTCCATCCACCTTATGTTAGTTCTGGGGATTGAACTCCAGGTGATGAGGCAGCAAGCACCTTTACCCATTGAGCCATCTTGCTGGCCCACCACCTCTGATCTCAGTAATAATAAACTAAATGATAATCAAGCCCTACAGTTCACAATAGGTCATTCCTTTTTCTGTCCATGCCTGGAAGGATCTGTCTCTGGAAATGGTGGCTGAGGAGACAGGAGATGTAGGTACAGACCATAGGGCTGTGGTAATCTTGCGAGATGGAGCCTCGCATTTTCCCTGTCAGTCCTCGTACAGGCGTTGCTCCTGTAGCTGGGGCTCTAAACCAGCTTTGAGGATGCCTACTAGGACAGTTTAGAGTGTAGCTTTTCTAGAGTGCCTGCCCAGTAATGGTAAAACCCCAGCTGTAAGCAGACTTACATGACAGTCCTCATTCATTAAGCAACCAAATTAGAGTTTGCCCTTTGCTAAAAAGATTAATGTTTAAACGGTCCTCTCCCACAGTGGTCAGACTGACTCATTTGTGAACCCTTGTCAGTCCCCAGAGTCAGCTGTGTTGAGTGTTTGGAGGTCACAGGGATCAAGGGGCCACTAGAGCCTGTGTTCCTCTTGACAGTTGTGAGCTTTTGCCTCTGCCTACATTGACTGCTGTTTGCTTTAAATTCGTTACAGGTTTAATGCTTGTTCATAACAAGTTGGTGGACCCCCTGTATAGTATCAAGGAGAAGGAAATTCAGAAAAGCCAGGCTGCTAAGAAGCCATACAGCGACTAGCCTGTGCCAAGTCACGAGTACCTCCGAGCGAGACAGGCAGGTCTTTCTGGAAACTGTAAGAGAGTAGGATTACTTCGCTTCAGTTCACTGTGGTTGCTGCAGACCCTTTTGGCTAGGAACATACTGGCTGTGGGGAACATTGAGTTTAGCTATGGAGAACAGTGTTTATAACTTTTACCTTTTTCAGTCCTGGGGTTTGAACCTAGGGCCTTGCACATGCCAGGCAAGTGCTCTACTGAGCTATGTCTCCAACTTGTTTACAATGTGATATTTTCTATTAAATCTAATATTTTCAAATAAAATGTGTCATTTGTGAATTCTGATGTTCTCCTGAGTCACTGTTCCATTGCAGTGAAGATACACCGTGACCATGGCAATTTACAGAAGAAGGACCATTTAATTGGGACTTGCTTGAAGTTTCAGAGGGCTAGTTCATCATCATTATGATTGAGAGTAGCAGCAGGCAGGCATGATGCTGGAGCAGTAGCTGAGAGCTTACATCTATCTTATCTGAAGGATGGAGGCAAATGAAGAGAGACAGTAGGCCTGGTGTGGGCTTTTGAAACTTGAAAGCCCATCCCCAGTGACATATCTCCAACAAGGCCACACCTCCTAATCCTTCCTAAATAGTCCACTAACTGGGAACCATGACATTCAAATATATGAGCCTATGGTGGCCATTTTTACGACACAAAACTTCTCTAGAGTGCAGAAGGTTATCATCTGAAAATGTATTTGAGCAACCCCTATAGACATGTGTTGAAAGAAGTATGAGTCACAGCCTGTAGTCTACAGCCTGGCTCTTTTTTTCTTGACCCTGGGGGCTGAGAATGGGTGCTGCTTGGATCCTGCACACAGGACCTACTCTGTGCTCAGTACCTACATTTGGAGAAATGTGAATGAATACTGAATGGTCCTGCACACAGGACCTACTCTGTGCTCAGTACCTACATTTGGAGAAATGTGAATGAATACTGAATGGTACTAAGACAATGGGAAGCAGTAAGTGGTACAGGAAGTGTTTGTGGGGAAAAGGAAGATGAGTTTAGTGCTTTGGGAAGTGTTTTAAGAACTGCCACTGAACCTCACTTTCCCCCTGGAGAGTAACTGAAAGTCTGTGTTCATCAGCAAATCTAGCAAGATTATGGCTTGACGGGCTGACAGAACTGGTGAAATAATGAGCAGGAAAAGCATGTAGCAGGGGTCAGCATGGACTCTGGTGGTTCGAATAAGAGTGGTCCCATAGGGGCAGTATTTGAACGCTTAGTCACCAGGAAGTGGCACTTGAAAGGATTAGAAGGAGTGGGAGGCATGGCCTTGTTTGAGGGTGCCAGTCACAAAGGCTTTGCGGTTTCAAAAGCCCAGGCCATGCCCAGAGTCCCTGCCTGCAGATGAGGATGGAGCTCTCAGCTACTGCCCTATGCCTGGATGCATGTCACCATGCTCCCCACCAAAATAACGGACTAACCTCTGAAACTAAGCAAGCCCCAGTTAGATGCTTTTCTTCAAGAGTGGCCTTTGGGGGGCTGGAGAGACGGTTCAGTGTTAAGAGCACTGGCTGCTCTTCCAGAGGTCCTGAATTCAATCCCCAGCAACTGCATGGTGGCTCACAACCGTCTGTAATGAGATCTAGTGCCCTCTTCTGGCCTGCAGGCATACATGCAGGTAGAACACTGTAAAAATAAATCTTAAAAAAATAGAGAGAGCACTAGGGAGGCAGAGGCAGGCAGATCTCTGAGTTTGAGACCAGCCTGGTCTACAAGAGCTTGTTCCAGGACAGCCTCCAAAGTCACAGAGAAACGCTGTCTCAAAATCCCTCTCCCCCCCAAATAGAATTTGTTTAAAAAAAAAAAGTTGCCTTGGTTGTTGTGCTCCTTTACAGCAATAGGACAGCAACTAAGACACACCCCTAAGTAAAGCAATGAGGAATAAACAAAACGTAACTTCATACCCTAGTCTCACAAGCACAGCAATTGTCTGATCTCTTCTTCTTTGGGTCACCAGCTCAAAAAAATGGTAGAGACTTGTTAATTATGAAAGCTTGGCCAATAGCTTAGGCTTGTTTCTAACTGGCTCTTATAACTTAAATTAACCCATTTCTATTTACATGATGCCACGTGGCTCATGACTTGTTCCTTATCTCCTACATATGCTTTCTTTGCATCTCCTCGAGACACCTCCCTTCTTCCCAGCATCCTCTGTGCCTGGAAATCCTGTGTAGCTATTAGCCATTCAGTTTTTTTTTGTTGTTGTTTTTTTTTTTTTTCGTTTTGGTTTTTATGAGACAGGGTTTCTCTGTATTGTTTTGGAGGCTATCGGTCCAGCCCGGCCTCGAACTCACAGAGATCCACCTGCCTCTGCCTCCCGAGTGCTGGGATTAAAGGCGTGAGCCACCACCGCCCGGCAGCCATTCAGCTTTTTATTAAACCAATCAGAGTGACACATCTTTTTTCTTTTTTTTTTAATTTTTTTTATTTTTTTTATGATTCTTTTTTTTATTAATATTTTTTTTATTTTCCATTTTAAATTTAGATAAGAAACAAGGTTGCTTCACAAGTCAGTACGAGGTCCCTCTCCCTTTCCCTCCCCTCCTCCCGTGCCCTCCCCCCTCCCCCCCCCCCGTTATCCCCTCATTCCCCCAGGGAGGGTGAGGCCCTCCATGGGGGTGTCCATAGTCTGTCATTTCATATAGGGCAGGGCCTAGACCCTTCCCAAGAGTTCAGGGTGAGAGTGCACCTCACATTGTTCTATGGGAGTCCAGAGACCGTGTGTATACTTGGGATGGGTACTGATCTGCTGTCCAAGGCTCAATAGATTCCCTAGGCCTCCTCACTGACACCCAGATTCAGGGGGTCTTGATCAGTCCCATGCTGGATTCCCAGGCTGATGCCTGGGATTCAAGAGTTAACCTTTGTCTGGTCAGCTGTTTCTGGGGGTTCAACCAGCCCAGTCTTAATCCCTTTGATCATCAGTCCTCCCTCTCTGATACTGGCTTTCTTGAGTTCAGCTCAGTACTTAACCAGCCAGTAAATGAAGTTTCTGTTTCCCAGACTCTCTGGCAATAGGATTGTAGGCTGGCACTCCCCAGATCTATGTCTAAAATCCATATATGAGAGAGTACATGCCATGTTTCTCTTTTTGTGACTGGGTTACCTCACTCAGGATGGTTTCTTCTAGTGTCATCCATTTGCCTGCGAATCTCATGATTCCATTATTTTTTTCTGCTGAATAGTACTCCATTGTGTAGATGTACCACATTTTCTCTATCCATTCTTCGGGTGAGGGACATCTAGGTTGCTTCCAAGTTCTGGCTATTACAAATAAAGCTGCTATGAACATAGTGGAACAGACATCTTTGTTATATGAATGGGCATCTTTTGGATATATGCCTAAGAGTGCAGTTGCTGGGTCTTGTGGTAGGTTTATTCCCATTTTTCTGAGGAATCTCCATACTGCTTTCCAAAGTGGCTGAACCAGTTGGCACTCCCACCAGCAATGGAGGAGTGTCCCCTTTCACCACATCCTCTCCAGCATAAATTGTCATTGGTGTTTTTGATTTTAGCCATTCTGACAGGAGTGAGATGGTATCTCAGAGTTGCTTTGATTTGCATTTCCCGGATGGCTAAGGATGTTGAGCACTTTCTCAAGTGCCTCTCAGCCATTTTAGACTCCTCTATTGAAAACTCTCTATTTAGTTCTGCAGCCCACTTCTTAATTGGGTCCTTTGCTGTTTTGGAGACTTGCTTCTTGAGTTCTTTGTAAATTTTGGAGATCAACCCTCTGTCAGATGTGGGATTAGTGAATATTTTTTCCCATTCTGTGGGCTGCCTTTTTGTCTTGCTGACTGTGTCCTTTGCCTTACAGAAGCTTCTCAGTTTCAGTAGGTCCCATTTATTAATTGTTGATCTCACTGTCTGTGCTACTGGTGTTATGTTCAGGAAGCTGTCTCCTGTACCAATTCTTTCAAGGGTACCACCCACTTTCTCTTCTAAGAGGTTCAGTGTGGCTGGATTTATGTTGAGGTCTTTGATCCATTTGGACTTAAGTTTTGTGCATGGCGATAAACATGGATCGATCCGCATTTTTCTACATGCCAGTCTCCAATTATGCCAGCACCATTTGTTGAAGATGCTTTCTTTATTCCATTGTATATTTTTAGCTTCTTTGTCAAAGATCAGATGTTCGTACGTGTGTGGGTTAATACCCGGATTTTCAATTCGATTCCATTGGTCTGCCTGTCTATTTTTGTGCCAATACCAAGCTGTTTTCAGGACTATAGCTCTATAATAGAGCTTGAGGTCAGGGATAGTGATGCCTCCGGACGTTGCCTTGTTGAACAGGGTTGTTTTCAGAGTGACACATCTTCACAGTGTACAAAAAGATTATTCCAAAGTATACCAGTCAGTGCCTCTGTTGGTCAAGTGGGACATGCACCCCTGTGCCAACTTGAGCTCCTTGGAGAAGAACACATCATTCGTTTGGGGCAGAGATCATGCTGGGCCTGTAAGAATCTTAGAAGTTGCTCTCAAGGTGTGTGTGACAGTGTTGAGAGGACAAAGCAGTCAGCTGAATGGGATTTTCCCCACTGGCCAGACCAAGTTTGATTAGAAAGGCTTTGCTAAGTCAGGAGGATCATGAATTCAAGGGTAGCCTGGGCCACACAGCAAAACCCTATCTTAATAACACAGGCTAAGTCTCTATGCAAGAGCAAGCCTAATATTCACAAAGGGAAAAGGTTTAAGTTTCACTTTGTTTAGTAAAAAAACCAGTAGTGGGGACATAAGTATATGTCATCATCTACAGAATACCTCTGCTCAATAGAGATGGAAACAGAGCCCAGCCCTGGGCTGGAAATTTCCCAGTTCTCTTTCCCCACCCTACTCCTATCCCATCCTTCGTGAGATAGGAAGGCTGGAGGGTCCTTGAGACATCCAGTTGCCCTTACAGTAGTGGACCAAAGAAGGAACTAGCAAAATAATTGTCCCTAAGGTCGAGCTTCTGTTTGAGAACAAAGTGTATGTGTGTTTCAGTGGCTCCCTTCCTTTCCCCTGCTCAAAGCACAACAGGGTCTGTGTGCGAGTGTGCCTGTGTGTATGAGTGTGTGTATGCAAGTGTCTGTGTGTGTGCATATGTGCATGTGTGCGTGTGTGCGCGTGTGTGTGTGTGTGTGTGTGTGTGTGTGTGTGTGTGTGTGTGTGTGTGTGTGTGTTGTCATGGTTCTATAGTGTTTTCCCTGCATGCACTGTTTCAGTGAGAGCTGTGAGGTACCTGGAAGTCAGGGATGTGAAGGCTCCCTT